CAGAGGCAAGGTCTGAAAGAAACATTAGCCACGTCGTGATTAAACCAGACACTGGCCTTCTGAGCACTGCATGGACAGATGCCGGTGACAGATAAACAAGCCACCATTTTTCAGACTGAACACAGCTTCACGTTTCTAACTCTAACATTTAGTGTTCTAAGAACAGACTGCTTTGATACAGTTTGAAATGTTGACAAACACGGAGTCTGCAACTCTGGCACACAGGATATGTGTGGGCCACTGCCACTTGAGCATGTTGGATCTCCATGAAGAGAAAGAGGAACGCGTGGAGCGGCTCTGTCCGCACACACACTGCCATCTCAGAAGTCTCAAGCCAATTCACGAATGCTTCAGTCCTCTGCATGCGGTAAAGTACCAATGAACCATCCATGCATTTGGAAGCTATAAGAATTGTGTTTGTAAAGTGACAAAATGGATAACCTCCATAATGCCGTGTACCGAGTCACCTAGTTCCTCGCATCCCATCTGAAGAGAATCTGAGATAACTCAGGTGGCCAACTGTCCTAAGACAATAAAACAGACGGCCAATAAGACGATGAGGGTCACACAGGACTACAGTGGAGCGAATACATCAGCCACTGCACACAGGTGTGTGCAAGACAGGGACAGACTTGTCAGCTGTGCCGGAACATCTCACCTGTCCTGTGGGTCAAATGTCACACACCCACTCACTACAAACAGCACTCGGGGGACAGAGCGATCACAGAGTCCACAATACTCGTGATGAATTTACCCACCTCCTAACTTCTAACTCCCTTCCTATAAATGCATAGTCACTGGAATGGGTGTGGTGAACTGTGTGTGTGGTAGTCACTTTCACAAGCTGTGGAATCAAGCTGTCTGTATCTGGTCAAAAGAGAAATCTGTTGGAGTTTCTGAGGGAGTCTGGTTCAGCAACAGCAGAGTCAATATGACCCCCAAGCAAGGGATCATCAGGAAAATAAATTGTACAACCTACACCTAGAAAAATAACTATCCAAACAAGTGCTAGGATATGTTCACAGACTGTAAAACCCAATGTTGCTATCCATACTCCCCAAATTAACAATCAAGCCAAATTTAATCAAAATGCCAGGGGGCTTTCTTAAAGAGACTCACAAGCAAGATGAATTTCAGCCACTACTCACGTCAGCCTCACCAACTGACTGAAAATGGAGCAGAGGTTCAAACATGAAATTTGAAACTATAAACTTCTAGACGTCTCTGTGACTTCAGGTTAGGCGAAGAAAGACTCCCAGAAGCCTTGAAGCATAGAGAAAGTTGATAAACCAACCAACAGTGAGCCAAAAGACAGGTGAACCACAGACTGGAAAAACACTTTGTGATTCATATATCTGAAAAAGAATCTGCATCGAGAACATACAGGGAACTGTCATCCTTTAATGAGGAAACCAAGCAGTATTTTAAAAATGGGTAAAAGACTTCAAAAGATACTTAATAAGAGACGTGGGAGACCAGTAAATAAAACTATGCTCGGCATTTTCAGCCACTAAATATGCAAACTGATGCCACCAAGAGCGATCACTACCCAGCATAGCCGAAAGGAAACAGAACAAGTGACAATTTGTGAGATGGCACATTGTCAGAGTGACTTTGGGAAAGAGATGAGCAGTTTAGTTTCTTATCAAGTTACACCTGCAGCTGCACAGGGTCAGCCAGTTGCTCACTCAGATTATGAGAAATGCAAATGCATTTCTTTATAAATAATTTCCAAAATCTGGGGTGGGGAGAACGTCCTTTGGTTAGTAAATGAACAATCTGTAGATAGCCATCAGCAGGTGCTGCTGACACAATTCAGACACACACATATTACACTAGCTAGGGTCAGAGGTCAGAATCAACCATGCTAGCATGTATGGCTCCGTGCACATGCTGCTCCATTAAAGGCAGACGTGGGCCTAGGAACCACGCAAGGTGTCTGAAAGAATTGTCATAAAGTGCCACACCAAATCCAGTAGATTCTGTGTGACAAGTTCCACAGACTGTGGCAATAACTTCAAAAGAAGGAGGTCTCCTGGAAACAGCTGTGGAACTCTCAGTCAGAGGAAAAATACTGGGCTGTGATTCTCGTGACAATTTCTGCTTGTTCTTCTATTCCTTTTTTTTATTCTCATTAACGAAATGTTCCTAAAAGTATATGCTGACATTTTAAACAAAAGAAATAGATAAGAAACCATCCCCTGAGATGGGGTCACTAGCGCTTTCCAAATCATTCACGTCATTCACATAAGTACAAATTGTAAAAACTTTCCCAACAATAAAATTTCATATGGCTGTACATGTGTCATTGAAAGTAGGCTCAAGTGTCTGGCAATGAAAGCTTTTAACAAGAAAGAGTTAAGCCACAGAGAAACCCTGTCTCTAAAAAAACCAAAAACAAACAAACAAACAAACAAAAAAAATAGCTAAATGGTTAAAATAGCTCAATACTTCAAAAACTCACAAGAACTAGGTAATAGATGTTAAACAATAACTGACCATAAAAATATATTAATTTGATTTAAGAAATATGCTAGCCTTGGATGATCCTATGCTAATCAAGGACGGTCCTATGTTTTGATTAATCAAGGACAATTTTGTGTTTTGATTAACTCTGGATGATTCTAAGTTTTGGATTTCTGCATCGCTGTGCCAAGTAACAATAATGTTATATGTTTGGGTTTGTTTAACAAAAACATCCCCTGAGAAAATATCTCTATAAGAAACCTTGTTGAGAACTGCAAAATCCACTCAGATTCAAACTGCCTCTCTGTTTCTGTTTGTCACCAACGAATCCTTACCCACTATTCTTAGGGGACCCTCATCCCAGGGACTCCCATACCCAGCTGGAGTGGTCTGTGGCAATAAAGCACTTAGCTTAGCATGACAGACTGAAATGGTTATTCAACTGTATATATTTGTCAAAATTTTGAAATAGACATTAAAAGGCATTCCATTTAAGTAAAATCCTTTAATAATAATTGTATTCTTTGGGGGTTCCATACGTTTATCAATGTATCTTTTTAATGAAAAATTATAGCCATGATCAACATACATGAATTTCATAAATAAAGTATTAGCACAAAAGACAAAGCACAGTATCTGAAGGAAATAAACTACGTCAAAGAGAAATCTGACACCCTCTGCTCACTGCAGCTCCATGACATCACCTTACCACGCCTAAGTTACAGACAGCACATAAAAGTGCTGTTTCTTACAGCTATTCCAGTTAGTTTTACATACTAATGGTTTCATTCGATATGATTAAGGGTGCATGCTAAGACTACATAAAAAAATAAAAGCAGCCTATCTGAACCAATATAATGCATTGTTTCCATTATGTGGAGTGTCTTAAAATCATAACTAGCATTTTAGGAACCCCCCTTAATATTGCTGATCTAAAATTTGAGAAAGTAAATATACAGTGTAACCCAAAATTTCCTTCACAAAATGGAGTCTTTTGTGCTATCTACTTTCTGGTGAACAGACTTTTCTCTACATAGACTGTCATTCACGTCTGTACGTAAACAGCTCCTGCACACAATGAGATAATACCTGTTCAGACATGTCAAAGTTCTTGGAGAAAAACAGGGACAGATGAATGAACCAGCACTGTTTTGGAGAGTGGTCTCACTATGCTGCACGGGACAGCTAATTCTTGGGCACAGTCTTCTGGCCTGAACCTTTCACTCAGATGGGGAGGACAGGGACACCAGTACACACCACTCAGCCCTTTTTATAACAGTCACTATAAGGGCTACAGGTAAACAGCAACACCCTAAATATTTGCAAACACTAGAGGGCGCACTAAGCCAACAGACTTTGGAATGCTTAACTATAAACTCTGACAATTGTCAGTACTAAGAATTTTGCTTTCCAACAAATGCACAGAGAAAACCAAAAAGGAAAAAAAAATCCATTCTTCCAGGATATTTAACAAAGCTTAGTACAATCCCACTGCCATGCTAATAATCCCCTTCAGCATCCAGTCATAATACATGCAGTTCAGCGTTGGGAGAAACAGGTATGAAGTCCTTGTATGCAAGAGAGATCACATCCGTGTTCAGGTGGCTAAATGGGAGTAAATAGCCTTTCACGGCTTAAAGTCAAGGGAAATTTTAAGACCAATCTGGCAAAAGACATAATGCTACTGTATTAAATTATATCACAGTTTATTAAAGTTTTAAAGTGTAGTTTAGCATTTTTTACAAAGGCAATTTTAAAGGTACTATTTAAAAAATTAATAAAATTGTTGCTTCTGTTGCTCTTATCTGCTGTCTTCACAGTTTTATAAGCCAACAAGCATAAGGAACAGAAAAGTAAAAACCTAAGGCTTTCAAACCTAGAACAAGAAATGAGACCCTGCCTGAGTCCTCACAGGAAGTCTCTTCTGACATTTAAACTTACTTCTATTCCTTCCAGCGCTGCAACTATACATCCTTGAAATAGTATGAGCTGCCACTGTGATCCCGGAAGGCCCTGGACTGTAAGCTGCCCAAGTATCAGGTAGCATGAGACAACACAGTTACAGGCTAGAAAAACCCCACAACCCCACAAAAGGTCCCCGTAACTGAGCCAGTATTTAATTACAATGAGGCATTTTGCTTTTCAAGATTACGGGGGAAAAAGTTAAGCTTTATAAATATTTCAAAACCCCAACTAGAACCAATTTCCCTCAACCTCTCTCACACAAATACACACAGACACCACTGCCCCACCCTTCCCTAGCTGAAGAGCACTAGATCCAACAGCAAAATACGGTTGGCTGACAGACTGTTGTTGACATCTCAAATTGCGATATGACCAGCACTGTATTTGGGAACCATCATATTCCAATCACAACCGCGGTTTCCCCCACACATGTACAGCCTCTTTCCATAACACAAAAGGCATACAGCTTGTGAAGGGTGAACACCAGGGAGAAACCAAAACCACTTACCAACACATTCACAAACCATGAGCCCAGAACTTCCTGTCCATATAACAACTATGACGGATACCTGCTCTCCACGACCGGTGAAGCCTGTTGCAGACTGATCGTCTCTGTTGTGATTTCCACTTTCCGCACACTTCCAAAGAAATCGGTTATCAGGACATGTTTAGGGTCTCTCTGAAAAAGGTCAGTACGATGTCCAGGAGTAGATACACAGAGACTTTTGGGACAAACTTGAAACTGAAAATAACAATGACAATATTAGTAACAATACACTTATCTTTAGTGTATTCCAAAGGTAAGATTTGGTTAAGACGAGCATTTCATCCCTATTGCAGTGTCTGCCGTAAGGAAGCCTGCAGGCCTCAGCAGAGTGCTGTAAGGAAGCTGGCCTGCCTCTACCATGACAGCCGACTAAAATGGGCCGCAGAAGTCCAATATGTAAAGCAGTTTAAAGGGAGCCCAACTGACTCCATGGCCACCTACAGCATACCTCTTGCTACTGCTGTGAAACTAGTGCCACTTTATAAACCAATTAACCTTGTCTAACCACAGTGGAAAAATAACCCCAGGTACCTCCAAGACCTGCTAGTGTTCCAAAGATGCAGATGGAAACCATGACTTCCCCACTCACAGACGTCACAGTAATCTCTGTGATCATCTGACCTGTGACATTCTACACTAGTGATTACCAAGGACAGACACATGTTCACTCACTGTGAAAAGCAAAAGGAGTGTTACTAGGGTTCACACAGTCACCATCTAAAGATGACTTCGGGTGCCAGAGACATAAAATAGAAAACACAGTCACTGACGGCATGGTGTACTTTTAAAGGGGACCCGATATTCTGTTGCTCCTACAGCACCCAACACAGTCCCTCAGCAAACTTTACTCTGTATCTCTAGGCAACAGAAAACAAAACAAATAGTCTTATGACTTATAGATATATCAAAACCCTACCGATCACTTTACAGACATTTTGTGTGCATTCATGCATGCACGCGTGTTTGAGACAGGATCTCTCTAAATAGTCCTGGCTGTCCTAGAACTCACTACGTACACCAAGCTGGTCTCAAACTCACAGAGATCCACATGCCTCTGCCTCCCTAGTCCTGGGATTAAAGGCGTGCATCAGTACACCTGGCACTCTTGGATCATTCCTACTGAAAGACATTCAAATAGTCATAAGCGAATTTTCTAATGGAAGCCAGAAACCAAGGTCAGACATTAACAAGGAGTGTGGATAGACGGATGCTAGACGACTGATATAAACTATACATATCCATGTGTGGGTATATACTGTAATCAATTAAAAGTCTCGTTATTTCTCATAATTTCAACGGGAAAGTATTTTTTAAATTTATTACACATCAAAGAACAATACATATTTTCACTTTTGAGAATAAGATTGTAAAATTAAACACTGTAAACCAAGTGATGCATTTTACTCTCAGAGTATATTTGTGTGTGTCAATTCCCATGTGGGATGGGTGGCACAGGGGCCTCTGCGCTCAGGTTCTGTGACAGCGGAAGTTCTGAGGGAAAGCATGTTTTCACAAGGGAGAGAAACAAGGTGGTGCCTTTTGTCTACTTAACAACTGGAACTGGAATGTGGTCTGTGGCACAATGCATAGCACAATGGACGTGCAGTGACAAAAAACTGAAATTGGGGTCGGTCAGGAAAACCCAGAGAAGCAGCCAGCCTGGTACGTGGGGGCTCACAGAGTCCAGTCAGGGACATCACAGGAAAACCCAGAGAAACAGCCAGCCTGGTACGTGGGGGCTCACAGAGTCCAGTCAGGGACATCACAGGAAAACCCAGAGAAACAGCCAGCCTGGTACGTGGGAGCTCAGAGTCTGAACCAACAGCCAGGAGCCTGAATGTGACTGACATGGGCCCTCTGTACATGTGACACAGTTGTGCAGCTTGGTCTGGCTGTGGAACTCCTAGCAATGGGAGCAGGGGCTGTCCCTGAGTACTGGGGACAGGGATGCTTAGTCTTAAGACAGCGTGACCTGCCGTGCTTTGCTGATGCACAGGGGAGGCCTACTCGTTTCTGAGCGAATACAGAGCGGTGGAATGGGGAGGGCAGAGAGGAGGGGGAGAGAGTGGGAGAACAGGAAGGAAGGGATGTAAAATTAATTACTTAATTTTTAGAAGTGAAATTAGCATTATAAAAAGTTTGTTTTACCCAGCACTTGAGAGGCCCTGGTCTACAGAGCGAGTGCCAGGACGGGCTCCAAAGCTACACAGAGAAACCCAGTCTCAAAAAAACAAAACAACAACAACAAAAGTTTGTTTTAATATTGAAGTCCCTGTGAGGATTTAACAAGCATCAAAACAGGTAATCTTCAAACTGGTGTTAGTCCTCCTACCACACTTGGCAGCTAACAGCAGCAGCTCTCTGCCGAGTCTGGCAGGGCTCCTTCACTATTGACAACTCACTCAAAAGGACTCTGCTCAGTGAGAGCCCAGTGCAGAGCTGCTGAGTTGGGGGTGAGGAGAGAGCCATCTGCTCAGTAACCCTGCATTCCTAAGCTCAGGGAGAGCAGGAGCAGTGTCTGGGCCATGTGCCGTGCGCAGCCAGTGACCACACTTATCAAACCCTGAGGGACCATCCTGTGCCAGGTGTTGGTCGCAGTGCAAACCGGACCCTGGCACTGGGAGGGCGGGCGGGAGACAGTGTATGCAAGCAGGTGGAGAGTGACGTCATCACATAACTACCATCTGCAGCTTCTCACTCCGCCAACTCAACAGCAACTTCCAGCTGCTGTGACTGAAATGGCACAATCAGCACAGGAAAGAAAGGAATTTAATTAGATTCAAGTTATCCGAAGAGACTGGGCTAGGAATTATAGGCTACAAAAACCATGTGCGGTGAGGTCTCTCTCTTCCAAGAGTTTCTCCATCAATGCCTGAAATCAACAAAAGATAGGCTGTGGTGAATGCTACAAAAGAGAAACTAAGTTCTACAGAAGCTCTGAGAAGGTAAAATAGATTCCAAGAAGAACTCGGGTGGCTTTCCTGGAAGAGCATCGTCTGACGTAACTCAGAAGGTCAGACAGCTTTTAAAATACACAAATGAAAGGAAGTAGTCTAGGCCCCTCAGAAAACAGAGGAGGACCGGGTTAAAGCTTATGGCCCTGTGTGCTAAAGGACATCCTGGGAGACAACAGGAAGGCCTAGCAGGTAAGGGGCACATGCCACCAAGCCTGCTGACTTGAGTTCCATGCCCAGGACCCACATGGCAGAAGGACATAATCTCCTGATTCCCTCAAGTTGTTCTCTGGTCTCTGCACACATATGTATGCACACAAATGCACACCCACACAAATAGATAAGCATAATTTTGAAGTTTTTTTCAAAGAAGAAATTAATTTAAAAAAAAAGAAAAGGTGGATTCAAATTAGTTAAAAAGGCCACACAATGAGGTAAAGACAGCACCCACGAGAATCCGGGAAGAACAGACCTCATGAACCACATTAAAGCTAGCAAACAAATACGGTGAGATCAAGTCAATGGGATACTTACAAGGTCCTTCATATTAGTCTGGCTAGCTGGATTAATCTCTTCCAAAAACTCCAAGACATAAAATGTATACCTGTCCATAAGATGGACTCCAATTGCAGGATCTGGCTGATGCTGTAAAGTAGGGAAGGCACTTGTCAAACGGGATCACGTAACAAACTGTTTAAAATACCAAATGCCCTGCTTATAAAACCCAAGAACAGCACATATATTCATAAAGCATATGAAGGGACTTGAGATGCGGCAAAGGGAAAGCACTTACCGACAGCGAGTCCTCTCCCACTTGGCTACTAGCCAAGGCCATGATGTTAGGGGAGTAAAACCGCTCATACATGGACGCGCCTTGGCAGGTGTCGATAATAAACAGCAGCTCATTGTAGCTGGGGGAAGGACAAAATGTGACATGAATCCCCACTAACTCCATAATGTAACCCGAGTCCGCTCTTTAGCTAAAAGTTAAGACAAGAGCCCTACTCATGAAACACTCCACAGGGGGCAGTGGTTACGTCCCAAGGCAGCTGTCTCGGTGTGTTTGTCCTCTGTTCTTGGCCACATCATTCAGAACTCACACACATATTCGAGAACCTCTTGACACACAGGTTTTCTTGGAAACGTAACACATACACATATCAGTAACTCTTTATATGAGCATGTCTGTGTACTTATGTGCTACTGATGCTCATGTTCCACACATCTGCATGTGTGACTCAGGCACCACACGCAAACACAGAGTGCAACAGGAAGGGAAAGACGCCCACCACGAAAGGAGTGTGAGGCAAACGCTGCAGACACTGAGCCAGGCCTGGTGTCTGCGCTAACCCTGTCATCCCTGGGACAACACAGTTCCACCCCAGCAGAGGAAAGGCACCCTGGCTGACTGGCTCCATCCGCTGAAAAAGCCCTGGCCATCGCCCTCACAAACAGTCCACCCCAGAGAGCTGTTTGTCAGCTCAGCCATGATGCCAAGGCTCTCACGGTCTCTCAATGCAGGGCCAGCAGTGGGAAATGCAACCCTCACCGGCTCGTGATCCTGCCAACACTGCAGCAGCTCTTCCAGTAACAGACGGCCCCACACACTGCCTTCCTTACAAAGATGGACTGTGCTTCCAGAACTGTGGCCGGGGGAGCCTCTCCCCCCGGAATACGCTTCCAAGAGCTGCATCCTAGCCAAGAAAACCGCCACCGTGAGGTGGAGTCACTGTGCGCTACACGTCACATGTCAAAGTGTGGACGAGTTTGGAGCTGTGGCCTAGAAAAGACCCAGGGTGCTTGGGGTGGGCCATGTGACAGGGATCAGAAGGTCAGCATGCCAACAGAAGCATCGACAAGGAAGTCTGTTCATCAGGTCTCAGAGGAGAACACCAGGAACTGGACTAGAGACGCCCATTTGTACTCTGGCAGAGTCTGGTGCATTATGCCCGTTCTCCGAAACTTTGAGTGAGGCTGAATCAAACATAAGAAACTAATTTAGTGGCCCACAGCTGTAACTTCAGCTACAGGAGGCAGGCACAGGAAGATCAGCCTGGGTTACAGTCAGACTCCCAAACATTACATTGGGCCGGAAGACACTTCAGCTACATGACATGAGATGTGATGTAAAAGTCAATCCAGGGCCAATGGCAGGGCTCCATGGGAAAAGGCTCTGGTGACCAAGACTTACAACCTGAGTTCAGTCCCCACAACCCACATAGAAGGACAGAACCAACTCACACATGCGCACACACGTGCACACACACACACTGGTGCATGCACACATATACACATGTGAACACACAAACACATACACACACACTCATGTGCACAAATGTGCACATATACACAACACTAAATAAATGAAAAATGTTTCAAGTCAACTCATTCATGTTAAATAGTAACTGGGTATTTCATTCACAAAGTTCCATTCAATGAAATAAAAAATATAAATTCCATGGTAGTAGAAGAAATGATTAGGGTAAGTAAAAATCACATAAAATAATTATGCATCTCCCACAGGACAGTTTGATATTAGTGTATTTTGGAAAAGAAAGCCATTCCTTTGGGGCTGGGTGTGTAGCCCAGACTAGAGCACCTGCCCAGTGCGTACAAGCCCTGACTCAACCTCATACTGCAGGAGAAATAACGAGAAATGTTTAAAAAGATGGTGAAGAGTTTCTTGCTAATTACCGTCTTTTCTGCCACATCTGCTCAAAAGCATCCGCAAGTTCTATGTTGGTGATTTCTTCAGAATCTTGGAATTTCAAGAAACCATTTCCCCCATGACCTTGTAGAAAGCCAAAAAGACAGCAATGATGTATTTCCCACACCATACAGAAATACATTCAGTAATAAACACACCCCGATACACACGCATCATTTGTTGCAATGTTTTAATACTACTTTCTTACCTAAACTATGGGCTGGAAAGCAAATTTAATTTGCCCTGTCGACTAAAAAAAAAAGAAAAATGCTATGCTAGACCACATAAGAACAGTAGGTATAACTCTTTAAAAGTTTTTCTATTATTCAATTAAATAAATCCATTGGCCCCCACCAGTATGTCTGAAATTTATCTTACTCATAAAAGCGTTTCACATTTTGGTGAGGAAGAAGCTAAAAGCACTGCCTAGCCCCTGGTGCGCTGTTCATTCAGCGAGAACTCTATGCTATTATTACTAGGAAGTATGGTTCTCAACTAAAAACAGATGTTTTTATCCCTGACCACTGAACACAATCCATTAGAGCTGGCTAGGCGGCGGGACATGAAAGAGCCAGTCTGTCTGGACTCAGACACTCGCTGCGCCACTTACAGACCATGCTATTTTAGGTAAATAACTTAATCTCTGCCTCCTTTTCCCCAGCCATAAAGCGAGAGCATCAATGGCTCGAAAGCTCCTCCTGCAGACTGTTAATGGTACCGTTCTCTGGGCAATGAAAAAAGGAAGGAAAGGTCTATTTTAATTCCAGCCCCGTGATGTATGAGTGGTTGCTGACTAAACCTTTGTGGGTAAAGGTGTATTTCTCCTTCCCACGTGACACCCCTGCAGCAGGGTACACAAGTCAGTGGAAACGCACTTAACACCAAGCCAAGTGCTGTGTGCACTGTAGGACCCGCACAACCACAACCACACACAGTGGGTCTGGATAGCAGCACTGAAATCACCAGGCTGCTGACGGAGGAAATGTGCAGGCAGAGGCAGTGATTAAGACAGAAAGCCTCAAATACATATCAGCTCTTATCATTTTATTATCTTAATTATCAGCTAGTCCACTCTGTCACAGACTTCAGCAACCTTTCCCTACAAAGAACTGGGCAGCAATGTCTGAGCTACGAGCTTGCTCTGCCGCTGTAGTGGAAAGCAGAGTAGAAGATATAAGAAAAGAAGGAGACGGTGGTCTCCTCAAAAGCCATGCTCCCAAAACAGGCAGCAGCCGTTCAGGAGAGTCGGTTCAGACTCTGCACTAAAACTACTGGAATTTCCTTCACAAAGTTATGGCAATAAATCCAGAAAAGAAATGCAAAATATGTAAATTGTGTAGCCTAGTCCACTCACTGAAGCTAGCCCACAAATTATAACACTGGGGGAATATGCTCACCACACAGTTTCATGAACCCCACCGCCACCAAAACAAAGGATGTGAGGCTAAGTCTGAGCGTAAGCAGTAAAACTGGGGACTGTAAACTGTTCAGCAGAGAAGGGACAGGCTTGCAATTTCCAATAAGTACTTGAGTAGGATGACCACCAGGAGACTAAAGCCGGAAGTGGGGTTCAATGGCAGGAGACTAAGGAAAGGAACAGAGAAGAGATGCTTGCACAGAGTGAGGCACCAACACAAAGGAAACAAGCGGGCACTGTCCTCATTCAAATGAGGGACCAGCAGGGCTGCCGATGGCAGACTGACCTGTTTCCACATAGTCAGACATTTGGGCCTGGACCCCCGGTGTAAACATGAGACTAACTTGGTTTCTTATGCACGGAATCTGAAGGTCACTCTGTCCCTCCGCAGTGTGCCTGCATTTTGACCCCCACCTGTCACGTGACATCAGATGGGCATGTTGCCACCTGTGAGGCTTACACAGGTTGTCAACAATTTCAGATTGTTAATAAAGATCCCCAACCTATATCCTGCTTACGTATCATGTGTCATGGGAATAAACACCGTGCTGCCTTAACTAAAGTTAAACTGCAGCATTTGTCCACAGCTTTGGTTTCGGTGTGTTTTATATAATCTACCACGGAGGCTTTAAGTTCTCAAGTACCTGTCATATAAATGAGAATATTGCTTCTGTCATCAGAAAGAAGGCGCTTGGAGCGAGGAGTGCTGGGTGGCACCCTCCCGGTTAACACCCGCAAAAAGTTCTCCACAGTTACCTGAAAAAAAAAAGTATCTTCTTCAAAACAAAGAGAAATCTGATGAAATGGAACCTGAAGAAATTCAAAACATACCTCCTATCTATGTATTACTCAGCATAAATTGAAAAGAAAACAGAAAACAAATTATGGTGCAATTTGTTTTAGATTACTAAAGCTAAGCATGTTCCTCCATGTGACTGTGCTCCTGAGAGTAAAGGCTGGCCTGTGTGTGTGTGTGTGTGTGTGTGTGTGTGTGTGTGTGTGTGTGTGTGTGTGTGTGTGTGTGTGTGTGTGTGTCTGCCTATGACCCGGCATAGTGGGGAGGGGGGCACTGAGGCAAGAGAAGCCTAACCTCACAGCCAGACTGGGCTACACAGCAAAACACGATCTAAAGAAAAGCCTCAGGCCTAAAAATGACAGGGAAAAGCCACATTTGAGCAAAATAATTTAATTCCCAATTTAGAATTTTAAATATTATGTGTTAAAAATTGGCCCCAAAGTTTACTGACTTATTTATAGAGGCAATTCTTTTGGAGGACACAAAATACAAACATTTGTGAATAACTAGGCAATCGTGCAGCAAATCTACTCCACCACTCAGTCAATAACAGGTTAGTCATACACGAGGACAGTGCCATGATCACCACCACCCCTGCTAATTATGTCTATTTAATTGTGGATGCCTGGTGTCACTCAGGTTCCCACTGAAACGTCTTCAACTGCAAAACACACGTTGAACAAATCTTCCCAGTTTGGGATGTCTGGCGTTCTTTGAGGGCATGTTTAAAGTTGTGGGGAAAAAATACACAGATTTAAAGTTAACAGCTAAGTCATGTGTTATCCATATTTAATTTAAAAAGCAAAAAAATCCAGTCAGATTTTTCAGTGGATTTTCCCTAGATCATGAGTGAGAAACATGTAGGAACATACGTGCACAAACTGTTTGGCTTACACTCTTTGCCAGAATACAGCAAAATGCTGATGGTTTTAATACAATCTTATTGGCTAAGGAGGTAGAGAATGGTTTTCATTTTCAAATGACTAAATAAGTAAGAAGTCAAACATTCATACACATTGAATCCACAGAACATGTCTGAGCAGCTGTAACTGTGAGTCTCCCTAGATGTAAGACACACAGGCACAACATGAGTCTTTAAAGGGCTCAAGCCTAGGGCAGATGTCACCTGACAGCGGACTAGAGAGAATTCTGCACTCAAGCTGGTCTCCTACTCTTGGTGGGCTTGGTGAAAAAGAACGACTATCTAGGATGGTTTCAAATTCCAAACAGTCTTGAACTATTAAAAACTAAGTTTCTAAGAAATAAATATAGTATAATGCCATTCTTAGCTAACATATTACTTTTTTGTTTTTTCTTTTGGGGGTTTTGGGTTTTTTTTTTTTGGGGGGGGGTCTATGTAGCTCTGTAGACCAGGCTGGACCGGAACTCACAGAGATCCACCTGCCTCTGCCTCCCTGCTGGGACCCAGCCCCCACGGGGTCTCTGTGAGTTGTTTTCCAGCATGGCAACAGGTACCTCCTGTTGTTCTAAGCCCCGCCCACTAACATCCTGTTATGACCTTTCTTGTTATTGAAACATTAGGCCTTACCCCACCCCCTTCTGGCTTTGTTGGCCGTGGGTGGGGGTTGTGGTTTCCTTATTTGCAATAGGGCATGGCAGTGCATTCTGCTATAGGGTGATGTTTTTATCATTTCCTCTTGTAAATAAACGGATGGCATTTGCTTCTACTGAATGACCTGAGTTGTGTCCTTCTTAATCCAAAGATTCTTGCCTGGTTAGGTTTTTCAGTCGCTGGCGCTGGTGACTCCTCCCAAGTGCTGGGATCAAAGGCGTGCACCACCACCACCAGGCTTCATGGGTAAGTGAAAAGTAGTGGAAGCTCACTGGAGATGGTTTTGTCTCAAACAGGTGTGCCTAACCTTAACCTGCAGCACAACCCTGTCATCTTCAAAGTTGTGCCTGGGAACCATGCAATCGAGTTTAAAAAAAAAAAAATCACAAAAGAAAAAATTTTCAAAATGCTCCATTAAGTTTGCAATGCTGTGTTGGGTTATGTCCATAGCTATGCTGGGGTGCACAGGGCCCACAGGCCTCAGACTGCACAAAGCCCACCAGTAGGCAATTCATAACCTAATAAAAGTACTGAACTTGAAATTTTAGATCAAATATGAAAACCAAACGTTTCCTGTTAAAAACGTTGGCACAACCATCCTTGACATCAGGCAGTGTTTTATTCGTGTGTCGCCATTTCCGGATTGTGGACTCCAAAAGCAGATTAAATTCCACCAAAGCTCAGCGACTGCTGAGGCTAGAGTTTAAAGACCATGGCTACCACACACTTCCGGTTTCTGAGAACGAACCTCATAGCTCCTGTAGTCCACTTCTACATCATCTCCGTACACATTGAGCTCCATGTTCTTGTGGCTGAACACCGTGGCTGGCTTGGGGTTTCGGGCATTGCATGCCATGTCATCAGCAAGCATCAGGACAATGTGGCTGGCAAAAGAATTCCAGAAACCCAAACTTTACATAAGGCCCAACGTTCAACCAATGTGCTCTGTGCATGACAAACAGCAGTTCTATCCAGCCTCTGCTCATTGAAAAAACTGAATGTTCACGAGGCAGTTAAAACCCTTAACCAACTGTCATTGTGACACAAGAGTGGAGTAAACTTAAAGCAGAAAACAGGAACTGGACCATGAACTTGGGGTTAGCACTTTCCATGTAACAAAGGGAAGCTTAGTGCTACAGCAAACATTTTAACTTCCGGAATATATAAGGTCCTCAAGATTGTAAGAGTCCACACTAATGTATGATCCTCCCAGGAACTTAACTTTCAGCCATGTAAGCATGAAATCTGTCATCCAGGAGCCTGTGCAAGAAGTGTGGCCAGGCACAGAGCCCACTCAAATCGCACCACGCCAGTTCACAGCCCTCCAGATCCCAGCCACCATCCTCTCCCCACAAGACACCTCCTCCTGGAGTCCTGAGAACTCTGACCCTGTCACACTTTGGGTGGACTCTCCAGAGTGACCTACCATCAATTAGTCAAGCCTTTCCCACTTAAAAACTTCCAGGTATGATAAAGTGGAAGCTACGGAAAACGTCTACTGGGCTACTCCACCACTCTCATTGCTAACGCTCCGTCTGCACTGGCCTTCCTGTTCTTTCCACACCCCCCAGGCCACTGACCAGTCAGACTTCCAATCACTCTGGTCCTGGATATGGCACTCTCTCTCACGGAGTGTTTTAGTGCCTCCAGGACACTGTGCATCAGGAATCTGTGTCGCAGCCTGTCACCATGTGACAGGCTTGTGTCCATGAGAACACAAGCCATCCATCAGAGGACAGACTTGTACTGTTAGACCCCCGAAAACTCAAGTATCCGGGGTCCCAGGCCACGTTCGCGGTCACCCCAATCACCACGCAGATTCGAGAGCTTGCTGCAAACTGCACGAGGCTTTATTGTAATTTAACGAGCTAACCCCAT